ACGATCCTTGTCGTTTCAATGCCCTATGATAATACTAGCTGGCACTGCTTAGTTTCCATCAATTTTTTGGGGATGAAAGTTTGTCATGTTCCAGTTAAAAATCAGTTTGCTTACTTCTTCTAAATAGGCGAAGTTTATGAACCAAAATTTGACAATTTGCACTATAGAGCAAGTATCGATGAATAGCAACTTAATAAAAGCTCATTATTTTCCAATGTTCTAATACTTCCATAGAACCATGTTCGCCTAAGACCTTGATCATATCTTAGGCCTAAGGCATACCTCACGCGATTTTAGTCGCCGCGCGATTTGGCACTGCAACGACTCTCCATAGCTGGTCGTAAACGCTCTTTGCTTGGGCCAGACTTGCTGCGTTTGTTACAATCTACGGGTTCTACGCACCCATGCATCTGAGAGCCTCGCATGCAAAACCTCTAGACATCTGGGAATTCGCCAAGTCGCGAGAATGTGGCGATTTTGCGAGAGGTATGCCTTGGGCCTTAAGTGGTTTTAGTCGCGACGCGATTTGGCAATACTTTAATTGTGCATAGCTCATTGTAAGGGGTTTCTGAATGTACGGAGGATAGGCCATTTTATCAACCCACAAAAGTTACACACCGTGCATTTGGGGTCTGCCAGTATTGAATTCAAAGACATCTGACAAATCGCCGGATCGCGTGGCGACTGAAATCGCCTAAGGTATGCCCACGGCTTAACCCTGCACATCGACGTCCAGTACCCCATCCAAAATCAAAATAACTGACAAGAATGTTTATCTATAATAATATTCGCACTTACTTCCCCATATCTCCTTCCTCTCCTTAGCTTAGAATTTGCGAGTAAAACTACTCGATAACGATTATTATTGAAAAGTAGCATTCAAACAAACTGCTTGCGTTATTTTAAAACTCGTATAGCCCGCTAGACACAGTGACGACCGCGATGGAGAGCTTTCAATAAATTATACTAGGAATGTGGCATGCCGGTCCCACTTTTTTGAATTTCTGGTCATGACCGCGCAAAAATCGTGGGAATCATCCTGAAAAGAACTTCATGGTGCTGTACTGATCCACCAACGGGGTATTGGAATGCATATAGTTCATTTATAAAATCGTGACGACGGATTTGACAGCGGTACTCATATAAAAAGGCATCACCTCATCTCTCGGCTTAGTCACTTCCAGCGTCTAAATGCTATCATATGTAAGCAGGAAAACCATTTGAGTAGAGATGAAAACCAAGAAAATAGCGGTTGCCGGGTATACGTGCGTGTCGCGCGCGGTCGCGCCGTCGTCACGATTCTTCGAATCCGCTATAGTATGACGTTTATACAATCGGGTGCATTGTGTGCATGCGCACATTCCAGGATGTTGGCGAGGGACCTAAGTCTCAAAGGATGTAGTGCATGTAATACTCAGGCTTCCTCAAACACACTTTTCCCTGAACACAGAAAAAAAAACAGAAGAAAACGCAAGACATACAATTTCTGGGCACCATGGTCATCCTAATCCTGAAAAGTGTGCCACTGCACATGTCAGCAGGGAAACTTCATCGACGTAGTTGTCACCTTGCTTCCGCCAAGTTTGCTTGCAATAATTTTCGATCACTTCACAATGAATCGCACGACTACCGTAGGGAATATACACTATCCTTAGAGTGACATTCCGGATGTTTGGACTGTTTTCAGCACATTGAGCTGTTCTCCGCAAGTATGACCGGGCAGTAAGTGTGCAAATAGAGAGTACTTGTCCTTAATCCTCTTTACAAAGCCTTCGATTTTTTCAATACAGGATGTTCCAAAGAAATTTCGCCTGTTTTATCGTTCTTAACTCTCATGCTCTAATGTCTTCCATGCTCTAGATGACATTTTATGGGGCCGGCTCCAACTTTTACAATACGGATAGAAACACCGGATGCTTAATGATGCTGTAGGATTACTGTAGGAATCTTGAACAGAGAGTTTTACATTTTCTAAATAATGCCGTTAGTTCCTTAAACGAGCATTGGCATTTCCATGGACCTTCGTTTGGAAGTTACCCTGTTAAGATGTTTCTTAAATCTCGAATACCTAGTCACACCATCTAAATGTAAGCTGCTTCATCTTATTGTAGAAGCTATTTTCTGGAATCAGCGCTTTTCAAACGACTCTCCCCCCCCCCCCTTCTTGAAAGTTTTGGGTTTTTTTGGAGTTTTTGAAACCGCAAGTGTTATTTGCAAGATAGTGCTGGTGATTCTTAACGTAATATAGTAACAAAGACTTGATCTTGCTTTGCCGACTACGTCAGTTCAAAGAGCCAGCTCTACAAAATGGTACTCAAAGGTTGGCCAAAAATTTTAAGGGCAAGAATGATATTTCGTATCGGATAGCGCAGTTCTGAACCTGTATGGACGGTAATATATCACAAGTAACTTCCACATGAGACTTCATTGAGATGAGATCACGCAAATTTCTGCTCAACTCAGCGCCTCAATTTTATAAGAAACATTTCCACCGTGAAACGTCAAGCACCAAATAGTTTTTGTTAGTATTCTAATCGATTCTTGCATTGTGAAAAATACTTGGTTCTGCATGAGTATGTCATTTTTTGATAGCCTCTGCGTGCTGCATGTGGCGGTTGGCATCGGCATCTATCTTATAGAACTTGAAACATTTTCTTTTGTGAATCATTACGTTTGTGGGTGAAAAGGTCATATATTCTGCGTGTTCCTAAATTCCGTTCACTAAATATATTTTTGGAATTCTAATGAGCTATTCGCTTAGACATTTATGACTTTGTTCACACCGATCTCTGAGAAAAACATCTTAATTGGATATTCACTGGAAGATGTTTGTCGATGAGAGAGAAGAAAACATGGACACTTCGCAGTTAATTACTGAGCCTACATGTTAATGACAGCCTGTAACAATGAGTTAATGATCACTCTTGGGTAGCCATACATAGTCGAATAGCTGCAGTGGGGTGTTTGGACAACAACTGTATAGGGCGTAAACTATTGAGTAATCTGATCTTTAACCCATTGACGACGACTCCTAATTTTGCGTGTGGGCGCTGTAAAAACGACTCGATTTTGCACAGCAATTTCGAGGCGGAAAGGTTTCATTTACGAAATGTAAGGTCGTTTTGCAAACACTATGAACATTTTCTTGAACGACGGAGTTTACAGGTCCCAAGGGCGCAAAAAATTGGAAAAATACTGATATGTGGAAAAAATACTGGACTTACAAATAATATGACTTTGCAAAAGATGTGGGCCACCTGTCCAGATTGTCCTTGACAATAAAAAGTGCGTGGGCCACCGGTGGTCCACATCGTCGTCAATGAGTTCATAAGACTATAATATTTCTACATCTCTCTTTGAGCGAAATTGATGGATGCATAATAATGATGAGTAAAGAATGTGCATTTTTTAAATTACTCCAAACGATTGTGAAGTCGAATTGCTCATCAGTCTAAATTGGTTATTCAAGCAATGCATCTCTCTCTCTCTCTCTCTCTCTCTCTCTCTCTCTCTCTCTCTCTCTCTCTCTCTCTCTCTCTCTCTCTCTCTCTGGTAACACCTTTCATCGGACCTCACTCGCAGTAACATTCAAGAAAAGCATCGTTTTTAGCTAGTATACTGAAATGTCATTCGGTACATGAATAGGAGGATTTACTCAAAATCTTATTTGAAACTCTCTCTCTCTCTCTCTCTGGAACAAAAAACTCTGAAACTTGTTAAAGCTTGCCTAAGCACGAAATACTCAGATATGGCAGAACTAAATGCTATATGTGTACCCATAGTTCTTGAGATCAACGTACTAAGAAATTAGCTAGTTTTTGATTATAATATCGTACCAACTACCAAGCAAATCACAATTTCCACTTGTTACGACGATCGCTATTTGGAGAAAAATAACAGTTGTAACGATTTATAATCGTAATCTTACTTTCATTTTGACTATATTAATCAAGAATTAGTAGGATCTTAAAAGATTTCGGTGGCGTTCTCTGAGTACCGAATCTTTTCGTTAGGGTTGCATGACAAAAAATCACGAGCCGTAACAGAATTGTAGTTGGTATAAAGTGGTCAAAAAAGCATTCCTCCCCTCGATAAAAATAAATCTAATTGAAAAACTGTCTTAGAAGTTTGATTTTAGTGGACACGTGAAGTACATCACTCACATACTGCCACGCTATGCTGTGGAAGTATGTAAGTGCAGCATCAAAGTCATCTACGATTCGAGCCTCAAAGGATGGCCAAAATCTCAAACTGGGACATCCTTTGCACTTCATCCCTTTGGAACTGTTTCCTATGTGACACTTTTTCCAGAGCAATATCCTATAGTAAATCTGCTGATGAAAATAGATGCCCGATATACAATAACGTTCACAATTAGTCAAAGAAGTCGCCGCAATCCGGATGAGCACTGAAATCCGCGTTGCATTGCCGTATCTTGGTTCAGAAAGGATGAATTCTGAAACCAATGACACCATTCGACTCAGCTCGGCGAGGCGCATTTGCTGATATGAAGAAGCGCACATTTGAATACAACAGGCGGTCGAAAATCAGCTTCGACAGGTTATTCAGTTGAATTAGACACACTGAGTAAACTACCGTAAGCAGAAATTTAGAAAGATTTGTGAATTCTAGCCTATTACCGTATTCGAATGGGTACTTCTACATATCAGAATATGCGCCTCGCCGAGCTGAGTCGAATACAACCTTTAGATTCAGACTTTGTCCACTCTTAATCACGATATGGCGATGCGACGCAGATTTCGGTGAACTCCGGCGGAGTGCGGCTATTTTCTGACTAGTTCTTAGGGGTACTGTAGATTCTAGAAAAAGGACAACAAAGACTTTGTAGCGAATATCGTGCTCTTTTTTCTCAAATCGCTGACATGGCGTGATGTTATGTGGTGCGGTAGTAAAGAAAGGCTAACAAACTTGAAATAGATTTTTATGAGGTGATCCTGATAGGCAGTGCATTAGCAATAGTCAAGCAAATTCGAATAACGTTAGCCTGAACAATAGCAACTATTACTGTCAGAGTCAATAAAGAACAACGAGTAAGAAATTCTGTCAAAATGTGTCATAACGATAACAGCATACAATAACACTAGAATATTCCACCTGACATTCCAATGTAGTAAAACCAATAAAATATGTTGAATGCCGTGAAGAGCAGAGGAAACAACTTTGCCGACATCTGAAATATAATTAAATAATGCTTGTTTCGTATAACATTGGAAAGTCTTAGCATGGGAAAGTAGATCGTTTTTTGACAACAATTTTTCAAGTTCCAACCAAAAACTTTGTGAGTAATGAAACAGAGCACACTGCCGCCTTTTTAGCAGCATTCACTCTTAATGTTCATTTCTGACTCGAAGATAATCTTTAATTTATTTGCACGAAACTTTTTTAAAACTCCTTTTGTAAGAGTGGTATGCAACTAAGAAACAACAAGCATCTTTTGTGGAAGATGCCGCAAAAAATGTGACGAGCGATGATTGACTCTTTGTATGAACTCTGAACCAACAAAGCATGTTTTCTCAGGATTCTGGGCAGTATGTAGAAATATAAATTATTCTAAAAATCTAAGAGTTGGACCATTATGCGGTTACGGACAAAAAACCAAAGTGTTCCAAGTTTTCGATCATTCATTGGATGATCTACGGGTAGGAGGCATCAACTCGGCCATTGGCGTAGCAGTGGCGTACCGAGGAGGGGGGGGGGGAGGCGGAGGGGGAACCCCCCCCCCTCCCGAGAATGGGTCGCGAAATGTTTGAAAGTTACTTAAATGAGTTATAAAAATGTGCAAAAGACTTATTTATACTTGTTAATTGAAATAATTTTTGAAACTTTTTAAAAATTCAATTTAGCCTTATAAAAAAATCTTTTCGGGGGCGTGGCGTCAGCCACGCCCCTTTTTTCCAAAATTTTGGGGTTATGGGCCCGCGAAAAATGTGGGAAGAGTACCAAAATTTTTTTCTGAGTGCGCGGCTAACGCCGCGCACCTTCATCGGAAAAAATTTTTTGTCGCGCCCCCCCCCCCCTCGAGCCGAGATCCTGGGCACGCCACTGTGGCGTAGCTATGGATCATTCGTTGCGGAAAAATTCAACTTCATCTTGCCCACTACCGTATGCTGATTGGTCAGCTTCGAGAGAGTACGGTAGGAGAGCGTTCAGAATTGACTTTTAAGCCCTCAACCCATATGATCTGCCGCTTAGCCAATGCTCGAGGCTTTACAGTTACAAAGTATCAGGTACCCAGATCTGTCTAGACATTCTCACTCAGAAGCCCTAAAACTAGATCCATGTCAGATGCGATAGGGATTCTTTTATGAGAAGAAAATTCATCTTATTGAACTTTTTAGATTTTTTCATTTGGTTTTACGGTGTAATTTCAAAAATTGAAGTAAAGAATGAGAGCAAGCAAACTTTCAGAGACTTTCTTTTTGCAGTTCATATGCTCGATAATTTCATCGTGGCATTTTCACCAACCTCATCTATTCGTTCCCCGTTGACGTAATTTGGATGTTCTACACGGACTTGTCGACGATATCTTTCATCCCTCGCTCGTTGCGCGTTTCCATTTCCTTCAGCCGGAAGCGAACCAGAAACGAGGTAATTTGTTCCTCCAGCTGAAATATTGCCCTTCAGAAACGATAAGTTGTATTTCATTGCTGCATTCACCATCGGAAAGAACATTCCTTTGAAGTCTTGATAGCCATTGATGTTCGGAGTCCGTACGCATTAATGATTGTTCTTGCATTCGTTGGCTCCGCTTTCTCTTCGCTTCCAGCTTGTCAGCAAAACCGACAACTGCCAACTGGGAAAAAATGGGGTTAATGTGCGTAAAAAAAACTTTGACCAGCATATCTCTTTTTACTTTACTTCACGTCCATAGGTATCCAAAGTACAGTAGTGCATCAAAAGTCGTCACGTGTAATCACACTACTCTTTAAATTTGTGACGGCAACTGAAGTACAAGAATTGCGAGTCCTCTTTCTACTTTCTAAAGGTCTCATCCGTTTTTCTAATTATGACAGCGAGTTTACTGCCACCGCCTTGGTCTATAGCAGGTTGTTCAGGTTGTTAATTATACAAAGCGACTGTTAAAAGGCGAACGTTTGTAGGTGTGATTTAGACCATTGTTTTGAAGGAAATTTTTGTTTTCAAAGTAAGAAAATTATAGATAATTACACAAAGTGAGTTCTGGAAGACGCATGTAGTTAAGAAAAGACTATGGTTTTTGGGAAACAAATGAAAACGTGTTCCAGACTATTACAAAAGCTACTGACCTCAACAAGGGAGAGGAAGATGAACCCAACGCATCCAAACATCCAGATGTCAAGAGCCTGGGGACAAAACGTATAAATGGACACCAAAAAATCTAGTAACTACAATCCAGTTAATCGATCAATCAGCAGTGCACTTGCAGTGTCGCTGAGTCAAAATCGAAGAGAGAGTTTGCACTTGGCTAAGTTTTTACAAAAATCGCTGTGAGAATAACGCCATACAAATTACTCTCAATCACCGAGAGCTTAGAGTTCTCTTTTATAATGGACCTGACCAGGGCTTAGCACAGGGGGCTCATAAGCAAGCTGGATATCGGTTTTGGGGACAAAAATCAAAGGGGTGTTTTTGTAAGTCCGAAATTAAGTTTTTTTGTCGCCGTTTCGTTTTTTTTAAAATCGATTTGGGAATTTCGGATAAGAGTCAGAGGAGACTTTGCAAGATTTTGCGAATGTCAGAGGGGACTTCGTTTTTGCAATTTCGGAAAGCCCCTCGTGCCGGGCCTTGGAACTGGCCTACGGTAAAAACGCAGGCGACGTTTATGGTTGTCTGTACAGGGTGTCGCAAAAAAGTGTACCTATTGTTGAAGTGCGAGTTTCACATTCACAATTAGCGACTCCGATTAACCTAGTGTGGAGGCTTTCAACTTTCTGGGTTAATTTTTAGGGGTAAAATATGACCTTCAATAACGCAAAACCCCCAAAATTCCTACCGTAATCCTACGGTAGGAAATCGTAACACTAATCGTAACACTACTGAAAGGAAAGGTAACTCGTCCCATACCGTGAATCTAAGTTGAAGCCAGCTCTAAAAAATGGCACTCAAATCTTTTTGAAAGACTGCATGACATTATTGACAATAAAACATTGGGCACTTTTCTGGGACACCCTGTATAATTCAATACAGCTGCTCGGTCATGGTGGGATACCTAAATGTCATTCCCGCCCCCCCCCCCCCCCTCCCTTTCGCTTCAGTGCTCCACGTTGCGTTGGATCAAATTTTGTGCGTGATTTCTGGTATTGCCTGCATTTCAGAAACAAAAGTGAACTGTGGTGATCGCTTTCAAACAAAAGCATTTTGTTCTATTGCGTATAAAATGTTTTTCTAAATTGTAAGAGTAGTCGAGGTAGTCCTACGCAGAATTTTTTTCTGGCAGTCAGTTTTATGGCGCTTACAAGCACTTACACTCTTAATAGACAATGATACTGATTTACAGTAGTACATTGAGAGCCAGAAGTCGTTGTAAAAAATAACCTTTACGTAGCTGACCCTGGGGAGATTCTTGACAATGTTACCAAACTGAAATGTAAGGGCCATCAGCGAAGATACACCAAGAGTAATCCTTGCTGGTAAAGCCTGAATGTCTAGTTATAAATTGCATCTATAAAAAACGCTAGGTAAAATCACTTCAAGGAGCGTTTCTGAAGAAATGCAATGCGAACAGAATTCATGGAATACAATGCTATATGAAAATTAATTTGAGAAAAGTATCATGATAGAGTTACCTTTGTGTCGATCCAAAACGCAATCCACGATATGAAAACAGAAAGATAAGTAGGCATATAGGCCTGAAACTCTTGCATACACATTTGTTGGTAAAACTTCGTGATTAGACCGCGTATGTGTAAACTAATTGCCGTAAAATTTCGAATGAAAAAAAATTGGTACTTGATTTATGCTTTTGGCAACTTTTCTAAACGTAGAGACGAGATGAACAAGTTTGCTAGGTTCAAAAGGGTCTAAAACTTTTACGTGGGCTTCAGTTTCTTAAACACAGGTTTCTGGGACTTAAAATGGCAAAAAACACATCTAAATTTCTGCCCAGAACCATGCAACCAATCCGCTCAGAATCTTCAATTACGGTATTGGGCATAAGTTTAGCACTGATTTTCTCGGTCATGAATGAATCATACGAACCGTCGAAATGGCTTAGTCAATGAGACGAACTTAGTAACTACATAAGAATTTCAAGTTTTCAGATTTGCTTGGATTGCTCTAGAATTTATTGAGGAAAAGCCAGTCTATAAGAGAGTTTCAAGTATGCTGCGCAGCACGGCTAAAGTTTTAATAGGAAATGCATCTTTCAGAGTCCAACGATTTTGTTTTTCCTAAGTCCCAATGTTTTGCGATTCTCAAAACATTATAGTAGATCATGTCACCTGAAGAACATAGTACCCATACAATCTCCTGAAAGTGAATTCAACCTCCAACTGATCCCACAATCCAGCTGTGTAAACGAGAGTAGCGTTCCGATGCCTAGAATACGTATTTGTGTTATAGCGGGGCATTCAAGCGCTAAAGTAGAGAGCATGACGGATAACAAAAGCAAGTAGCGAAACGAACATAAAGTGGACGAGTTCAAAATCTGGAAGATTTTTCGAGTCCGGATCGGGGATCGAAACAGGTTCCCAATCTCTCCACACTATGTGCACTTCTGCTGTGTTGAACGAGTAGCTCTGAAAGTGCAGCCGTTGCTAGTGACTTGAGCAGAAGCTATAAATCACTTAGTTGCAAGCGAAAAAGTGCAAGTACAGTAGAACATCCTGAGACTTGGTCAAACTTACATAGACGACACCAAATACACACTTCGAAAGTGATAAGAAATTTGGATGTCAAACCTGCGCTACAAAAGCTCATAGCAAAATTTCTAACGCGTTGAACGGCTCACATTTGGAATAAGATTTGACTTGGGTTCTTCGCAGACATCACACCATTGATATTTAATGCCCTAATATAACTAGGATGCTGACCGGCTGTCTAAAAGGACCTCGCAAGACTTCTGATAAATATTATCCATCAAATTTCTAGAACTAATCGACCTTTCCATTCAGACAGATTTAAAGAGATACTAGACACACATGGTTTATGTCAATTTCATCGTTTCAAATTGGTGAGCCGTTTCAGATCTGATGAGTGTTGTATATCATTTGTGAAAATTTTGATTTGTGCACGAAAGTGGAAATTGCAAGGCTAAATAAAACGACTTGGCGAGCTTCATCGTAACATCGGATTACCCATGCTTGGAATAACAAAAAATTCACGAGATTTTTCAGCTCACAGAGTATGCGTAATTGTCGATATAGGGATATAATTGACCAAAGTCGGATATAAAGTTGGATATTCAACTATCATGTACTATAGTACATCGGTGCAGTAGGAAAAGGTGAAAGACTGATCTGGCAGAAGCTTTGAGACACTGGAGGCGAGCTTGTCATCGTATAAAAATTATATCTATCATGGATTGCGCAAACTTTTTTTAGAGTAATGACCCGATAATAATTTAAAAAGGTTTTAGGGTGTAATTTGAATAAACGTCAAAACCAGCAAAATGAGAGTGGCGTATGTACACCAGGAGTCCCTGAATAATCTCACTTATTTTTGAATGTAAGCCAAGCGTATAATTCCACAACCATGCAAGGTAATCTCATATTAAATTGTATAAAATCTGTTCCTCTCAAGTCATCCAAACTTTCATTTAAACTTACTCTAAGCCATTCCAGGCCACACGACTTAAATAACTGTCTCTCCTATATGGGACTAACCTCAAAAATCAGATTACACGATTGCCGATCCATAGGAAAATAGGTGAGATCCAATTTGCATGGTCCTACTAGAGACACGCGGAAGTTAAGCCATACAGTACCATTGGGAAATATCAGTAACAAAATGTTTTTCGACGGTGAGGAATGAATCTCGACCTGTGTAAAAATAATATCTGCTCATACCAGCTAGCATAAAACTGCTTGTACCTTCTTACTATTCACGAAACAGACATTCGGCGACCACAATTGTGGCAACTTGTGAGCAGCTAATGAAATATTTTGTATACAGTAGTTTCGTTCCGTAAAGTCTAGTCGAGGATCCCGCCAGATTTGAGAAAACCATACATCCGCCTTGAAACTGCTTGAGAACTCGCTGATCTCTGTTATGGATTGAACAGTGAGCTCAACAATCACCTGAAACATGTGAAAATTTTCCCCCACAGGAAAATTTTTACTATAGAATTTGGTTTAAGCAAAAAACATCTGCGCCGTTCTAGAACAACAAAGTGACTTGTTATAGCCTTGACGATTAACACATTATCCACTCAACCATGTACAAATCTTTGTCATATTTGCCCATTACCACATTTCCATTTACTACAAAAAGATTCTCAGCGAATAATATTATAGGAATCGTTCAGAGTTGCTCGTGCCAGCCGTATGTCAGTGTGGTGCCAGCGCCGGAAGTGCCGGAACGTCGATCGATCAATAGACGGGGGGTTCCAGGTGTGTTACCGCACGGCGCTAGCGGGGCGCTGGCACGGCATCACACATGGGCATTTCTAGTCGCTGCCTTTACAAAAAAAAAACATTGGTTCAAACTTGTAGCCTACTGTCATCGACAATCAACATATTTGAAACTTTAAGTTCTTATCTATCAAACCCTTGAAGGGAAAATAGCAAAAAAGGAGTTCGCAAAAGCATTGTAATTCAATTGAAAAAGTCTGTCAATATAAATACTTCTATTTTTTAAGCATGATCCCGCTTATGTTCCAAACAGTCAAAGTTTGCTAAAACTCAATATGATTCAATCAGCATGCTTGTGCCTTTACTCTCCCTCCTCAAGAGGAATGCAATAATCAATAATACGAGTATTTTGAAACTTCCAAAAAATTTTTCTTATGCAGCAGATACTAATTTTCATGAAACATTGAATTCAATTTTGGTCATGTGCGCAAAAGAGTCACCAATTTTGATCTCATGTAGACAACTTTTGTAGGACACCGCCCTCCGCCTTACCTCAGCAAAAAAACTTTACCTAGTAGCTTTTAGATATTATGTTGTATGATGGGATGGAGCCGAGCCGCATCATTCAAATTATTTTTTTTATCTCGAAAACTTGTTGCGACTCTAAATTCATATCTTGGAGAAACTACCCCAAGTAATGCATTTAAATATGTATTATCGTAGTGCGCCTCCTCAACTGGCTGTGAAAATGCTCATAACGTTTCTATAGAGTAGAATGTTGACCACAGAGCTAACTGACATCATTCACTAGTCTTGCAAGCAGAAAGGTTGACATAGTGGCGCGTAATTGCCTGATGAATGGAATACAGCTTGACGGATGACGGGCCTCTTGGATGAGCAGATAGATAGTGAATCTACTTCTTAACGGCTATACCAATATTTGATAGCTGAAAGCGCAGAAAAATTTGGATGATAAACTATAATAAAGTCAACTCCCAACCCCCAATTTCTAAAACCAATGACTTAATAGAGATCTTGACCTGCAAAAGCAGAACCACATTCTGCGTCAGCTTGGTGCACACCCCATTGTTTCAACTCCACAGAAACGATTAAAGAAGTGTAGCCATGTATCTTTCAGGAGTTCCCTCCCGACAAATAACAGAAGAAACTGTCTTTACAAACTTTCACAAAGCCTTGTTTGAGCTTGGTGGCCTCTAAACGCGTCATACTTTTGGTAGCGATGCTCCATGATCTCTGTGTAGAAAAATTCCTGGACTTGGAAACAAAACAAGTTGATAAGATTAGAAGCTCCGAAAATAAGTTTCAAACAAATTTTATAGCCAATAAATTTGGCTATATGCCAAAAAAAGCCCAGGGAAATGCTTCTTAAGCTTGAACACATTCGAAAAGCATAGATTCTGGGATAGATAAGCTACTAATTGATCGCTTAGATTGCTACTAAGTCAAAGTAAGATAGTAATGTCTACTTTTTGGCCAGCCTAACAAAAAACTCATCATTTTTGGCTTTAAATTCAGCATCTGCTCCGGGCCGTTTCGCCTCGCATCCTACGAAAATTTGCATGCATTAGCAAGGATTCAGAGTTCGCTTTATCCGTTCACATGTACATCTCCGCTTGACTTGCTCTATATGCCTTAGAGCGCATCCGTCACTAATCAAAAAGCTCAGGATTACTTTGTGCTCTGCTCAGACTTGAAGATTTGATTCAAAAAAATGCAAATGGAGAGAAAGAAGGTCAGCAATTCTTTGCAAAACTTGCATCGCGCAAATGTAAATCTTGCTGTTATAATGCCCTTGCGGTGATGACAACATCTGCGCGTAAAAGTTGCTGTTCGTGATGACGGCAATATTTGGGCGGAAAAATAACCATAATGCGCACATTTTTGAATTTTGAACCCCATGACCGACAACTGCACTGTTGTCAATGTGGCAAGAATACTGAATAGTCCTCCAGATTTACTAAAATACTTGATAGGTTTAGGGATTCTACCCGCAAAGCTAGCTAGCATAAGTCATAACCGAAAAAGTATAACTAGCTGCCATCCATTTTGCGAAAAAAGTAATTGAAAGTCCCTACTTTTCAACTTTTTTGCCTCGTCGCCATTCTGCTTTTACGTCAAAAAATTTGCTTGTTGATATAGTATTGCTCGCTCCTCACCCAAATGATCATTCACGAGCCAGACGTAACACGTCCCCGACAAGCTTTCAGCGCAGCAGCACAAGCTCACCCAAGTGTGGGTAAAATTGAGTACTCGGTAGAGCTATTATGCAGAAATATACATAAAAAGGGTAGCTCTGCTAAGACGCTGCATTTTACCGCTTAATGCTTCATCGAAATAAAATTTGAGGCATGTTCACGAACGGCTTAGACATAAAAATACCACTTGGGGCTAAATCCATAATTCAAGCATATTCGTCCCCTCGGGCTGCATGCTCCTAATGGAACCTGAAATCGAAAAGAGCAAAAAGTTTATGTGTGCAGGACCTTATTTCCTATTCAGCAGAACAGTGGCTTCTATACGAAAAACTATACTAGGACAAATTATTGCAATACTATATAGCGGCAAATTCCGTGTTCTTGGCGATTTTCTCATAATAACTTTACAAAAATAAAAATAGATATCCTTTTGCTCAGCAAATCTGGTTAAATAACTCCCATAATAAATGTGAAAATCATGGTATGAAAGATTTACAAACAAGAACAATGAGAGCTTTTTGCTGATTTCAACGTATAACTGGCATGATACCGCTATTAACTACTCGAAAGGAATTGCGCTAGGTTTTTCAAAGTGTTTTTCTGGGAGTAAAAAAACCTCAACGAACTGTCGACAATCATAAATTCAACTAATATCTCTAAGCGTCATGATGTATGTCATAAGGACAAGGTAATCAATAATAGTTTTTTAAAGCTACTTTCTGGACAGTTTCATGATTTTGAAGTAGGGTGCTCATCAAAAACTTCCGAATTATTTCAGGTATCTGGGCGAATTGGTTCAGAATCTCCTGGCCGTACTAAACCTACAATCACTAAAAAATTTATATCGTAAAAGAAAGTTCGATATCAGTCGATTTCAATGCAGAAAGTTCCTAAAGAATTTGGCACAGCATCTTTACAAAGTAATGTTTAGCGCCTGCCTTTTTAACTGCTGCCTTTTTCTTGCGCCAAAATAGTTCAGCAAAAAAAAAATTCTTGCAACCAAACAACTTCCTCGACACTCTTCTCGTCCAAGTCATTCTTTGACCCGCTATGTCCATTATCGTAGAAATGTCCCTGGCTCCTCTCACTACACTAGCGCCTTCCAACCTTTGTTCGAATTAATGGTAGCTGTGAAAGCCTAATCGCGCGACTGAAATTCTCTACGCACTTTTACGCTAGAACGATTTTTTAACATTCAAGCATATTTTCACTGTTTCTTTAGGCTGTTTGCAAAGTTCTGCAGTTTCTCAGCCATGACGTATATGGCAGCTTTTTTCTTACAAAAATCTTGTGAGACTGTCACTTTCACATGAGAAGGCCAGTAAGACGATCATTTGAAAAATCAACATAAGCGAAAGGAAAGAAAACGTGATTGAGGGTTTTTTCTGGCATTTTCTCAAGACAAATGAGGAAAGAGAAAAAGAAAGGATCACAGGTTGTAGAAGAGATATAGCATTAACTCTGGAGTACCTGTTCTATGTAATGTGGAAAACTTCATTGCTTTCATTGGGGAACGAGAAATTCTAATGAAGGGTTTGGTGGGAAGAGAGATGAAAATACAATGTCAAAAGACTTGCTATCGTGAAGCAAAAAGGCATGATGAAAAAATACCTTATTTTAATTTTCAAAATAAAATGTAGCCAGTATTGCCTTGTGCATTCTCATGTATCGTACTTTTTGAATATATCAATCCTTTTATTGACTATTTTTTTATTTCATTTTTTGTTGAATCCATTTATATGACCTATGTCTTTGCATCTTTGCTGCTTCATGCAAAGAATGCAGAAAGAACGCAAAGAATCTAAACCTGATAAAAGCTGAATAAAAACCGAAATAAAACATATTAAGTGGCCCAACTGCTTTTAAATTCGTGACTGAGTAGGTTTTCAGAATGAATGACGGCATTCAAACTCAAAAGATTCAATTGTTGTTTTATGGCAAACCTCAGTTGAGTTGGTGCTAGGTAGATTGTTCTTATCATATGCATCGGAGAATAGTTCCTGAAACAAAAACATAAGTAGAATCTTGAGAGGATTCATCAGTAAAATGAGAAATCTTGAAGTAGAAGCGGAAGTAAGTGAAGATGTTAACATGTTCGCTTGATTTATTCCAAGTTTATCCAGAGTGCGCAAACGTCATTATTTTCGAGATCGCAGACATCAAGGACCATGATGATGAAGATTGGTAGAGTAAAGGAAGACATTTGTCATGGACTGGGTCCCAATTTCCATCTAATAATCAGAGGGGCAGAGAAATTTTTTGAGAGCCTAGAAATGATAGCTTGGAATCATTACCTTGTCATCCTATCTCATTTATTTCCTCAGGATCCATAAATCCAAAGGGTTAGGACCACAGTTAGCTTTAACCCACAATTTCACGATTCTTTGTGATATTATTAGTCTTGGACTGCTTTTGCGTGACTGCTCAAGCTCTTGGAACCACTACATTAGAATTTGGAGAACAATAAACACGTGCTTCTTCCGGAGTAAAAGGCTGTTATGGTGTACATAGATTGAAAGACTGATGGAAAAAAGAGATAGAAGGACGAAAAGCAATAGATTAGATTAAGGAAGGATTTTATCAATTCAATATCTCGTCCTTAGACAGTGCTATCTCAACAAACATTAGCTAAATGATCTGATTTTTTGAAAATTTTTACTGGACGAGTTCAAGCATTAAACTGCAGTCAGAATTCGTTCTTTTGGTGCCAATTATAATTCTAGACATGAACTTCGAAAAGTACTACATACACTAGCTTCCTCCCTGCCTATTCGGACTAATCTTGAGCAATTTCTCTCTTTCACAACTAAAATATGAGAAAGTTCAATAGCCTAATCTTTTCCTGCTTGCGATGTAGCGCTCTCGACGAACACAACTCATAGCCTTGTTTCGGTGCAATGAAGCATAGCCTAAATCCGCTTAGAGGGGTAAGTGCGCAGTATTTCACCATTTGCAAGAAGTGCATATGAAAAACTTATCTAAGACATTTAGAAGAGATTATGAGGCTAGAGAATGAGCGGTTGATCCAAAGGTCAACGCTTCAATGGTTTTTTCAAAGTTCACACAAATTCAAACGACTGAGCGAAGTAGATACAGAGTGGATACCCACTAAGACCTGAGAAATTACCTGAAGTAGCTGCTTACGAAGAGTTTCGTTTATAGAAATACATTCTTCATCCAGAAATTTGTCCGGCTCGTGTTTCCGAGGATGGATGTAATGTATGCCTGAAGCTTTTAAATTGTCACATTTCAATCGTCCAAGCAGAATTCTCATAATTGTTTACTAACTATCGGGGAATTCGCTTGTTTGTGCTCCTCGTGCGGTGTTGGCAGCTTTGTAGTGAGGTACTTCTCGTGACGCTGGGTACATCCGATGTTCGTTTCGGGGGTCCGACGACTGCGCAATACTGACAAGGCGATCGTTGTCCGAAGCGGAGAGGTCTGGCAGTAGCAGCACAATCCTCGCCAAATAGGATATTATCATCCCGCTATGCTCTCTCAGCCCATCAGTTTCGACACGGCCAAACACAGATGATTCGGCGATGATTGGAATAGTGTGTCCCGTCGGTGCTAGCCTATCTCACACATTTTCGGCAAGTGATCGCTTGTAATTTTCCAGGGGAAGAGCCGCTCTGGAGTAGGAGAGGGAGTGGACTACCGATAATGAGGTGTCACGAGCAGAGAGGCGGGATCTCCAACGCCATCACATGGATATGGGGCCTGCATGCACCTTTCCAAGGGGCGCGCACCACGAATTATGCGCAGTCTCGGATGGAATTCTGAGTTCACTTGCTCGGGTTCATTTTGATCTCTCCAATTCACACCGGAAATTCTAACATCCACTAAGAAAGATGACCATTACGAAAGATCCATTCAGGAGTGCTCGTTGTTAGCCTGTCATAGTTTCCAGTTTGGAAAGTAGCAGCGGAATATTCCTAGATTCGTAGCCTTTTGCATTCTAATAAATTCGCTAGATTCGATAGCATTCCGAAAAAACGGTGTACTTCAAATTGGTGACCAGAAGACTATTGTGATATACTACGACACAAGCTGATAAAGAAAAACACTTGAATCATGAAATGTTCAAATTGTTGGTAAACTCGGTCGCAAAAAATACTAAAAATCCAGTAAAATCTACTTCCCTTTTTGATTCTGATGGTGGTCTGTCATTCCTCAATGAGAAGTATTCGTGTTGATCACATATGCACACGAATAATGTTGGCTTTGGACCTGTAGGTTGGCTCTCCTTGGATAAAATTGACAACCTGCATAAGGAGTTATAATATATATCAAAAATAATGTTGTGAATATTACATCATTTAACACGTCTACAAATATTTTCAAAACGATTTTTTTACTATTTTCTCAAATGCAGGATTGGATTCCAACTCCGTGAATATACAGCAGCAAAAAATAATTATGACATGATCCTACTTATTATCTTTTTTTTCGATCTAGTAAGAAAATAGGGTGCCTTATGTCTTCCTAATGAGTGATATGGTTTATATCATCTCATACATTGTTGTCATTAGATTTTTTTTCTATATTTTGCGCACTTTGGAGAAAGAAATTAACAAAAAAAGTCGCGATTTACCTCTACCAACAGCTGCAAGTATACGTAGATGTATGTAGTCATCTAATCGAATATGTTCGCTAGCATTGTAGATTACATGCCCACACGCAAGTTTGCACACTTTTCGTACTCTTGCAACACTTACCAAATTCGGTTAGACGAAAAATGGGAATACCAAGTACTGACGAAAAATTGGACTAAGAAAAAGAAAAATGCGATTCTCAACTAAGAACAGAGTCGTTGTCTCTGACTAAGGCATTTGGCTTCTGGGAGCCGCATGATGAACCTCTACTACTCAAAATTGATATATTATAGAATTTCTAATGTTAATGAATAGCCGTTTTGTTATGTGACTCATTTCTCATCAGCTTTTCCCTTAGAAAAAGAGAAACTTTCTTTGTTACCAACATTTTCTAAGATTGCGCCTAAAGCATACCGCACTCGATTTAACTGGCGCGGGTCGGCACGGGTCGTAAATGCACACAGTTCGCTCGGACAAAACTTGACTGTTTGTTACCGCTTACGAAAGCTAAGCGCCTGTACATTCAGAAGCTGAGCACGGCAAATCTCCAAACATCTGGCAAAATGCCAGATGTTTGGAGCGATGTGGCGAATCGTGGGAGGTATGCCATAGGCCTTGAACTTTACGGCAAGAAGGTGTCCGTTGAAATCAAATTGTGAAGCTGCGCACTCAAAACAATTGATTTCAAATGCAAACAGAATACACATGTGTTCAAAAACCAAAAAAATATGATCAAAAACTCTGGGATGTTTGGTGCTATAGTGTAGTAGATCTTTTATACTACATCAGTTATAATTTTAGTAATGGCTTTTGTTGCTTGTTGTATATTAGGTTGGAAAGAAAGAATGTCGTTTTTTACAGCGAGAGGATAAGAATCCAATAAACTGTGTGATGGGTAACATCCGATAGAGCAGAAGGATATACGAGATGACCTTGAAAAATTGGCAGAAGCGGTGATTTATGCAAAGCTCAGAGCCAAAACGTAAGAGAAACTCATAATGCCAAAAATCCGATTCTAGCCTCAGGAAAGCATACAAACCGCTCACTTGCTTTAGCATGTAATAGTCACATGCACTTATCCATGGGTACTTGCAATATTTTTTCAGGCTTGATAAATCAGGAAAAAATAGAGAAGAGGAAAATGGCAAAAACTCCGTCCAGTTGTCTTAGACGCCTCCCATATACGCCGATGTATATTACAAACCTCCAAAACTGCAATGATAACCCTTTGCCTTGGATATGGACTAGTTTCCGAGAATTATCAATTTCTTTTCTTTCCGATCTGATAATTTTGAACAAAAAACAATGATCCTCAAGGGCTAATTTCAGTAGTTCATTAGCAGACCTTACGTTATCTTGATACGAACAAATTCATTCTATACATTATTACAACTATAATAAACAGATTTTTCCCCTTAGATAAATGGATGACTTACTGTTTATGTGTAATTACGATGAGAATGACATTCACGAATTGGTCAAACAAGAACAATGACAACCTAGAAGATTGAAACTTACACAAGATGTCCCAAAAGTATGTATACACTGTTTGACCGGTGATATCTCCTTTCTCAAGAAGCCCTTTGCCTAACTTCAGGTACCATTTTGGAGAACCGGCTTCAATTTAGACTCACAGTATGGAGCAAATTACGGATCGCTGTTCATTACTGTAAGATTACGGTAGGAACTTTCAGCTTATAGCATCATTACGGATTTACCGTGTTTCTGAAAAAATTTCCAAATAATCTGAAAAGTGGTTTACTACGGTTTTCAAGCTCGCTAGTTTTATTCTTCAAGTTTTTACGAGTTTGCAAACTTTTAAAATGGTGTAATCACGATTTTATGGAGTCTTGTAAAAACAGCTATTGCGGTCTATCTGGAATAACTTATGATGGAAGCATTGCGGTAAAGTGCAAACATCAATTTGGTTTAGCGGCTTGAGTTGACCTAGTATAAAGGTTTTCTAGTTGTTCGGTTTGTATTCTGAGGCGAAATAGGGACCTTGATGACGATAACCCTTCTTGAAATTTCTACCGTAATCTTACAGTAATGAAGAGCGAACGGTGATTCGCTCCATACTGTAAATCTAAGTTGAAGCTAGCTCTACAAAATGGTGCTTAGGGGTAGAAAAAGACTTCTTGGGAAAAGAGATACCAACGATCAAACAGTGTATACATACTTTTGGTACACACTGTATAAATAAAACCATTGTAAGTATCTTGATTTAGCTATTTGGACAGCAATAATCATTAGCAAAATTACTACAAAACAATTAACTTCAATTTTTATGCAAAACAGTTATTCGTTACACCTAAACATTTCCACGCAAATCAAAAAAGCTACTATATATACTGAGACATGGAGAATCATTCGTACATGCACGTTCTTCTCAGATTCTCTTTATAAATTTTACAAAAAGTATGACTAACATTAGATGGGCATGACAAAGATACAACTTCCTCCGGTATTTTGAATGTTTACATAAAATTGATTTCACATCATACAAATATAGCCTATATAATAATGAAAACATCAATGACGCCTTTTAACGCCTTTATAGATTCTTTGAACATCTTTGAAAACAAAGTGGAATCGAATTCAATACTATGTACTCCAAACTATACATTGAGAATATGCATGCCTGGATACAATGCATTTATCAATGTTCATCTGTTCAAAAACGCAATAAATCTTATTTGTAAGTACTTGAAAAATAAGTTCTACAGACCTTCCTTCCTCAAGGAGAAATTCCGGGGAATGTCCGTGGATTCGTATACTCCGCCTCAGGGCACAAATAAATGGAATTCTGACAATGTTTATTTTATTTTAAAAGAGAAATAACTGCCATTACAGTAGTAATTACTCCTCTCCAAAACAAATTTATATAAACATGGGCTGACCTGGCGCACCTTTCAAGTGGAAGTAAACTCCGGATCCCGTTCCCATCAGGAGCAGTTTGCGCAGTTTCTATATATCTCAAGATAGAGCCTGTCGATAAGCTACAGGTAATTAACCCTTGATAAAATATTTCCGGAGAAAGATAAAAGCTGTGTTGCCATACTTACAAGCCCTGTATAGTTTCTCGCAATTAACATGTTTGCCTATTCCCATACACTTTTTAGTTTCATGGTTGCACCTTATCAGTTACGATCTCGAAGATCTCATCTTCACAACTCTTAATGGAGTGGAAGTGCTTACATATACTATCTTTTCGATATTTGAGATTATTCCAGCCACTTGGCGCCATCACGATTTGACTTATATCACGCAAAGATGCATTCATTGACTAAACATGTATGCCAACTGATTATTATTGTTTTTTTTTCCTTCTGTAGAGAATTCTTACCCTCTTTTTCTGCTCAGACAGCAATTCTAGAGAGTTACTGGAAAAAATTTTCCTTGTTTTTTCCTTCCTCAAATGTTTTTCTTTCTTACTTTTTTCATGTCTCGTCACCGTTTCTTTCGAGCTTACAGAAGAAAAAGAAGACTGATGAAAAAATCAAAATTCTCTTTGAATCCTAAACAACTCATGTGTGCATTTGGACCAAAAATTCGGGTCCCTGTTCAAGTTCTAAAACGGGAATTGCTCGAATGTTCAAGTCAAAATCGCAAGTAAAAGACAACTATTTGTTGATATGGCAACATACGAGAAATGTTCCGTAAGTAAAGAGTTTTTGTTCAACAGTGTATCAAATAGGTGATCTTTGACTGCAGTCCGCCAATAAATTTGAGTAGAATGCAACTTTTCGAATGAATAATACATGCGTATTCACGTTACGCAACAGCGTAGAAATAATTTGAATGTTATTTGGCAAAAATCGACATTAATCGAGTCGCATCGACGAAAATCCATTCAATGACGGGAAAATTACATTGCTGTGAACTTTTA